GCACTCAGACCATTCAGCAAAGTTAATTGCTTGGCAAATCAACCAAGCTCAGAGAACCTGAGGACTCATATTAATCAAGCAACAAGAACTTATTAAGCACCTAGTATGTGCTAAGTATTGTGCTAAATTCTGAGATGACACAGACAAAAGTGAAACAGTCTTGCCCTCAAAGAGCTTATAATTTAGTTATGGGAGATACCATATGCATATATAAGTTTATCCAAAATAGATACAAGCTATATTGAGGAAGAAAGCACCCAGAGCTGGGAGATCAGAAAAGGTTTCATGTTGAAGGCAGTGCTTGAGCTGAGTCTTAAAAGAAACTAAAGATTCCATAAATGAATTTGAGATGAGGAGGGGAGTTGTGTTCTACCCAGTAAAGACAGGAGATGGAAAGTGGTATGTATGAGGAACTGTAAGAAAAGCTAGTTCGACTGGATTGTGGAGTGGATTTAAGGGACTAATGCTTAATGTTTAGAAAGGTAAACTGATGTTGAGAGATGTGAGGAGAGCCCTACAGAAGCTCATATTTAAAAATAAATGGAGTTAAAACGTCTAGCTGAAATTGCTTTGCATTACATAGACTCCCAAATCAGTAACAGTACATCATATTTGATAGTGCTTGAAATATTAATAGCACTTTTACATCAGTTATCTGATCTGGAAGTGGCTTGGTGGCTGGGTTTCAAAGCCAGGAAGATTGGGGGTGGGAGAGGTTCAAGCTCCCCTCACCTCCATGCACATACCTACTACCCCCTCACCTAGATCAAGTCACTTACTGTGCTTTATACAACTAATACTATAAGGTAGAAAAGGTAGTGTAGGGGGTGTTCTCTCAGGCAGGAACTCATTTTACCAGTGAAATTACAGGTCAGCCTCTATCCTTATTTCACTTGCGTAGCAAGGGAGTATGGAGCAATAGAAAGAGCGGTGGATTTGGGACCAGAGCCTTTGAATTTGAGTATGAGCTCTGCCACTTACTAGTTGTGTGATTAGTCTTATGACAGGCAAGTCATTAAACTTTTTTGAACCTCAGTTTCTTCATCTATAAAATGGGGATCTTAACACGGTAAATATTTCACAGGATTGTTGAGACAAAAATGCTTTGTAACCCTTAAGACTCTACAGAATTGTGAGTTATTAAAATTCCTTGGTACTTCCTTTATAATTATTAACAGATCTGTTGGGATAGGACTAATATTTAGTTTCCTGGATGCAGCTTCTTTTCTCCTCCTACAACAGGGAGAGGCACAGGCCTTTTCTCTTTCCTTGCCTTTAGGGATTTGCTTTCGCTAAAGGGGAGACAAATCTGTCTCCAGGATACAATTGGCTCCAGTTTCCTGGTGATTGTAATTTCCTGGTGATTCTAATTAGATTGTGAGCTCCTTGAGGGCAGGGATTGTCTTTTGGATTTTTTTAGAGGGGGGTATTCGCAGCACTTATCACAGTGCCTGGCACATAGTAGATGCTTAGTACATTTTTATTGACTGATTGACTAGTGATGTAAAGGCATAAAAAAAATCCTAGCCATGAATAGTCATGACCTTTCAGATTTGGTGGATTTCTTTAGGCCATACAAGTCACCATATCCTTCAACATATCCTGCCTTGCTGATCAGATGTATTTCTATTTAGAGATGTACAGTGTAACTAAGTGGTACTGTGTCTTTGTTGCATATTCTTGGTGATTTACGGCAAAGTAAACCTCCTCTTACGTGTCTCATTTTGTCCCAGCACCAAACCTGAACTAAGAGAATGCTGGTGGTAGAGCTTCGACCAACATTTGGCATAGTTTTGTCATATTGGGATGAATTGAAATTAGTCTTGTGGCTCAACTGGGTTGAATTGAGTTAAGAGTCCTGATAGAGAGTTAAGGTGATCACACAGAGGGATACTGCATGGTTTTCATTGGAGACAGCCTTCCTGATCATGTATAGTGAGTCCTCTCTATAGAACAGGGAGCAGGCTTATACTCAGGCTACTTAGGCCTCTACTCAGGCAAAGTATTTAGCTTGGTGGATGCTGGAGTAGACAGCATGAGAGGGTAAAGAAAGTGCCAAGTCCATCATACCCTAACTGTTGTTAACTGTTCTGCACAAATTGGACTGATGTGTCAGAATAATAAGACTGAAAGTAATCTCAGCCATCACATTAAGCAGCTAGAGACTGAGCTCTTGGCTTTCAGGGATCACATAATGAAAGCTAAGGAGCAGCTAATGGAACTGGTGGCCAGAAAGTGAAGAAATCTCTGTGCTTGGGGGGATGAGGATTCACAGGGCCCAGTCAGGAACCCTGTACTATGATCTCTGACTCATAGATTCCAATTCTTGCTAAGATCAGAGCCATGAGACTGGAGGAGAGGAGAGATGGGTAGAGATTTGGGAACTCCCATTCCACCCCACCAGTGGTCTTATTACCGTTCCAGGAGAAGGGTAACCGTGCCCTGAGGGAACAGGTGGTAGGCAGATCTTTTCTGTCAAGGATCTCAGGTAGTTCAAACAGAAAACTGTTGAGTCGTAGGAGCAATAACTCCTGAAGGAGTGGTCTAAGACAGACAATGCTCTACACAGCTGACTTCTATAGTCAACCAGTCAATGAACATTTATTAAGTCCTACTGTGTGTCAGGCACTGCGCCAACCTCTGGGGATACAAAGAAAGGCAAAAGACAGCCCCTTTTTGCAAGAAGCTTACAGTTTAATGAAAGACAATATACAAACAACTTTGTACAAACAATCTATACACAGGATTAATTGAAATAATCAACAGAGCGAAGGCACTCAAATTAAGGAAGATTAGGAAAAGCTTCCTGTAGAATGTAGAATTTTATCTGAGACTTGAAGGAAGCCAGGGAAGCCAGGAGGCAGTGATAAGAAAGGAAAGCATGCCAGGCATTGGGGACAACCAGTAAAATATGCCTAAAGTTGGGAGATGAAGTGCCTTGTTCAAGGAACAGCATGGCAGGAAGCGTCACTGGATCAGTACACAGGGAGGTGTAAGGTATGAGAAAACTGGTAAGGTTGGGGGAGGGCAGATTATGAAGGACTTGAGAAAAAAAAAGAATTTTGAATTTGATCCACTGTGGAAGCTAGGTGGTAGAGTGGATAGAGTGCTGGGGACCAAATGAGATAATGTTTGTATGTTTCTATGTCTGGCATAGCATAGATGCTTAATAAATGCCTGTTTCTTTCCTTCCCCCTTCCACTGGAGTTCATTCAATAGGGAGATGACTTAGTCACCTATCCTCTAAGAAAAAAACTTTGATAACTGAGTAGAAAAGGGAGTGGAGCATAATGAGAGATCTCTGGCAGGGAGACTGATTAGTCAGCTATTGCAATAGTATAGGTATGAGGTCATGTGATCCTACACCAGGGAGGTGGCTGTGTCAGAAGGGAAAAGGAGGCATATATAAGAGATGGTAGAAAAAGTAAGATGCGAGAGAAAGTGAAACTGACAGACCTTGGAAACAATTTGAGTGTGGGGGGAATGTGTGTTATTGAGAGTGAAGGGTCAAGGATGACACCTACATTTTGAGCCTGCCTGACTGGGAAGATAGTAGTGCCCTAAATGGTAATAAGAAAGTTTGGAACAAGGAAGATGTTGGGGACAGGTGTGTGTGTGTGTGTGTGTGTGTGTGTGTGTGTGTGTGTGTGTGTGTGTGTGTGTGTTTGAAGTGATGTACCTGTTTTGGACATGCTGAATTGAAGATGTCTACAGACCATCCAATTCAAGATATTCAATAGGCAGTTTGGAGATATGAGACTGGAGGTCAGCAGAGAGGATAATTAGATTTGAAAATCATTGGTATAGATATAACAGTTGAATATGTGAGAGCGTGTGAGGTCACCAAGTGAAATAGCATATATAGAGAAGTCCCAGGACAGAATCCTGTGGGACACCTATGGATAGTGAACATGACCTGGATAAAGAGCCAGCAAAAGATATGGAAAAGGAGCAGGTAGATAGGTAAGAGGAAACTCAAAGAGTAGTTTCAAGAACACCAAGAAGAGAATCAATTTTCTTCTCCACAATGTAAGAAGAAAGCCCAGAGATTTATTGGACTCTTCTGTTTTGGGAGAAACCACATTCCTCACTGGGTATCCTGATGACCCTTATTTATTGATTTATCAGTGAAGCTGCCTCTTTCAAGTAGGGCGCACAACTAAAGATAGCCCTGGAAGATAAAGACTGTTCAGCAGTCTTGATCCTTGGGCACTTATGACCCTGCAAAGCCCATGTTTCTGGAAGTCTCTGTTGTAAAGACTAAGCTGAATGGAGCCTTTGCCAGGCATTAAGAAGTGGTCAGAACAAGTAGCTATTAGGTTACTGGAGGCGTAAGTGGCCCCAGATAGTCCCTCATGATGCCACTTTTGAAAAGCAGTCGCTTGCCTATTCCTGGACCTAGCTGCTATTGAACAGTTGACAAAGTGTCATAAATCACCCTTTGTCTAGAGTTATTTATTATGGGTTGGTTCTTGCAAGCTGGTCCCTCTAACAAGATAGGAAGAATACCAGAGACTTCTTTGGCTAAATGGAAACAGTACATTTAAAATCATACTTGCCTGGGTTCTTATGGTGTTAAGACCTTTACAAACAGGTAGGGACTATGTTAGAGGCTGACACCTCCAACCAAGACCCTGGAACTCTGTCTCCTCTACTGGCCCAGTTAGCTCCCAACTATAAAGAAGAAGAATACACAACTGGACTTGAGCAGCTACTAGTCTGGTAGCAAGGGATACCCTATGGAATGAATGGGCCCTGCTCAAGACCTTCCATTTGACTAAGCTTCAGATTGCAAGAATGATAGAGGAGAGACCCTTGAGGGATCGGGCAGAAAAGATCTTTATCGATATTAATTCCTGGGCAGTGGCCATTGGTTTGGCCTAGAGAGCATAGGACTGGGCAACAAAGACTCTCCACTTTTGGATCAGGACCAAAGAAAGAGTTTTTCAGTACCTCCTATTGCATGTCAACATCCATCAAAGACATGATATGCTAAATGGTCAGGTTGGACCTTTTATAAAAACAGCAGATGTTGAGAAATGAGTACAGTGTCAATTTGGATTTTGAGATAGTTATTCCATGTTGTGCTGTGACCATATGATCCCCCTACCTAAGAACAAGGCAGCTATTTCTTCCCAACTGGGCTGCTTGTCACAATCAGAGCACCCACCTAATCCAAATGATCTTTAACTAGTCTCCAAATGGCCAAATAGTACTCTCACACTGTGAGGAAAGAGGTTCACCCCGTATTAATCAAAAGCTGCATCATCATGCATCTTACTACCCGGGTCAAGTGATCCAGTCTCCAGAGATCATGTCTAGACAAATCAACACCACCCAAGAAAGGGAAGGGCTCTTTGCTCTGGTGGTTTCTGGAATCCACTTTCCAGGAAAACTGAATGAATGAACTGGTTTTGGACATAGTTCTGGCTAGCCCTCTTTGGCCCTTCTTTATTCCTTTTCCAGTGCAGAGTTGCCTTGGCTTCAGAGTTCTTATCCCCTCAGAGGGCTCTATATGCCCCGGAGAGGGAGCTCATATGCCCCTCAGTCACCAGGCTTCCTTTCCCCCCGGGGAGGTTTGGGCAACTCCTTTCCAGAAAAGGCTAGGGGGACCAAGGGGTAGTATTAGGAGATTTCTTGCTTTCTAATAGCATGTGGGAGATAAAATTATCACTATCTATGGTAGGTATGCACTTACTTACTTATGAAAATTATTTCTTTTTAGAAAAAAAGGGGAACTCTTAGCTGACCTGGTGGTAATTCTGAGTCACTAGAAGTGAGTGAGGGGCAAAGTCCTTTAGTTAGCTCCTTTTAAAGAAAATAGAATCCCCTCTACTGATATCTCTAATGGGTAAAAAAAAAAAAGATTTTGTTTCATTTCCTTCATGTGGCTCTTGGGGAGGGGGAGGTTTTGACATGTTGATCATGTAATATGAGTGAGTGGTGGTACAGGGAGAGCCTTGGTATTAGAACTTGGGATAGGCTTCATGAAATAGGCGTCTGACTTCTTAGCCAGTGTAACTAGACGACTCTGATGCATGATGAAGGATTCTTGATTGTGTCATGTGTTCCTGCTGTGGCTCTGACGGAGTTGGAGCTGCTTCTGCTCATTGCTTGTACCTCACATCAGGAGAAGAAATCTGTGCAGGTTTCATCATCTGTCTTGTGGCTCTGGGGTTGCTGTTTCAGTTCATCTTCACCATTTTGCATTAGGAGACTTGCTGCAAAAATTTGGCATCATTCACCATGTGGACCAACCTATTGAGACTTGCGTCTTGGTTCTTCTGAAGGGGAGAGGAAGAGCCTAAGATCGCTGGCCTTGTTTTGTCCCAACATCAAACCTGAACTAAAGTAGTAGTGGCAATAAAGCCACGGTCAGCACCTGTGAGGTAGATATGACAAGTGTTATCCCCATTTTTTAGAGATGAAAGGACAGAAATCTAGAGAAGTGACTTGTCCAAGATCACACAGCGAGTAAACAAGTGAAGGAGTGTGGCTTAGTGGAAAGACCACTGGATTGGAAATCAAAAGGCCTAGGTTTGATTTCTGGATTTGTCACTTATTGGCTATGTGAGCTGGTGTGATTTCTTCATTTTTCTGATTCTCACTTTCCTCGTATGCAAAATGGAGGGGTTTAGAAAAATTGACCTTTAGCACTTCTTCCAAATGAAGCATTTTGTAGAATAGAACTATAGCCCAACTTTCTGACTTACAATCCAGTGTTGCTCTAAACCACATTGCCTATGGCATGTGAATCTGAGTCCATCAATGATATGCTATAAAGGACTGATAAAATAACATGCATACACACACATACACAGAGAGAGAGAGACAGAGAGAGAGAGAGAGAGAGAGAGAGAGAGAGAGAGAGAGAGAGATAGGAAAAGACACTGTTGTATTTTGTTTTTTAATATTCTAGGAACTTTACCATGAAATATTTCAATTGTGTACATCCATCTCTATTCAAGACCTACTATGATGACTCATTGTGGACTTAGGGTGACATTGAGTTCTCTATGCTAGTGGACCACAAGTTCTGGTAGCTTCTACCATGATGGGAAGGTTTTCAAATTCAGGTCCAGCATCAGCCCAGTGTCCATTCTTTAAAGGCCAGCCTAGTCAACTTTGGAGAGATTCATCAATAGGCAGTTTGGCCGCAGGATGACAAATTTTTTCTTTTAGCCCAAACAACTCAGAAAGACTAATCAACAAAGCCAAGGAAAGGATCCCTGGGGAAGAAATGAGAGTTTTGATCTGAGCACTGATCCTGCTTCTGATTACCAGGTTACTTCTCAGTTCAGCATCCTATCTACCAACTCTCTATTATTATTATAATACTCTTCCCATTACATCTGAATCCTCCTGGAGCAGAAACCTTCTAGATAGGGCTTTTCCTATCTAGAAATACAAACAAACAAACAAACAAACAAATAAATAAATGAACGAATAATAAATAATAAATAAACTACAAATAATAAATAATTATTTATTTATTTTATAAATAAAATAAGTAAATACATAATTGTATGTATTTATGTAAAATAAACAAAATACAAACCAAAACAAATAAATAAATAAATAAAATGCAGATAACAAAATAAATAAATAAATAAAATACAAACCAAATTGGTTGCAAATTAGAGGAAAAAATAACAAAGAAAATCAAAGAAAAGAAATTTGTGGAAAGCTTACAATGCATCAAATCACAGATCTAGAGTCGGTAGAGATTTCAGAGCCCAGTTCGGTCCAATCCTCCCAATTTTACACATGAGGAAAGTGAGGCCCAGGGAAATGATCTGATTTACCAAAGGTCACACAGGTTGTAAGTTCCAGAAGATGGATCTGAATACAGGTCATCTGACATGAGAATTAGTATTCCTTCCAGTGTACTACATTACAATTATTACATGAAACAAACATCTTGAAAAAAATGTTTAAAAAAGGAACATATATAGTGTATATACACATATTTAATGTAATATTCTTCAAAATACATAATGATAGTTTCAAATGTTAAGTAGAATGATACTGGGTGCTCCAATGAAAGCTATGGCTGATAGGAGTGGGGCAAACTGGGCAGGAGGGATATAGAAAATAACTGAGCTTAGCCCTGGAGCTCACGGAAATAGGGTTGAGCTCAGGCTTCACCAGAGGCCAAGAAGCAGCTGAATGTTGACTGAAGCCAGCCTGTGCAAGCTTGGGAGAGTTGATTTAAATTTTCGGTGGGAGCATTTACACCTCAGAAATCTGGAAACACTATAAATCAGGCCTTGATTTTTTGTTTTGTTTTGTTTTGATTGTTTTGACTTAAAGTTACAGAGAAAATATTAATAATACCGATTAAATTTAAAAGTGTGCCCTGAATATTTTCTTTCTCTCTCAAGCCAGTTGTTAAACATTTACCAGCACATTGCTGCCAAGAAGTCACTACTGGCAAACGCCCTGACAACCTGAAGCGTATTTTTAGCTCACCATGTCACTGGGGTTAACCCTGTGGGCCTCTAATCTCATGCTAACTTTGAGGTCCTCTAGACACATGTGTAGTGTGTCTACTGGGTAATGTGGCACTATTTCTACATAGCCATGTACTTAACTAAGCCCATGCTCCACTGAGAAAAACATTTAATTCATTGTGGGAGATAGGCCCAGTTTTGGTCCTCTATATTTCTTAGTACCAATGGAAACTAAGATAAACTTATACTATTCACCAATAAGTATCTTTTCAACATTCCATACAGCTCCCAAAAGACCTTTTATTATTCCTTGTATACTAATCTTAATAAATAGTATAATTAACCATAAAATAATAAATAATAAAAAGTCATAATGAATCATAATAAGTAATCATTAAAAATAACTGAACTGAGGTAGATTCTGGAAGGTAGAAAACATTTATTCTTCAGAAAAAAAACAGAGAATAACAAATAATAATGATAATAATGATTTTTAAAAAATCTCTGGGGAGTGATCCCACTGGTTTAAGGTACTCCAGAACAGAGGCTTGATAAGGCAGGTATGTCACCATTGGCTGCCTGATTAGATCTCATTTGAATGTCCTGGAAGGAAAGGGTGAGGTCATCCCGCTCTAAAAGGAAAGAAAGCTCTGAGTAAACGAATGACTCACATTCCTGGCTCTAAATACATGGAACTAACTGGCAGCAAGCAGAGAGATTTATTTCCTGCAAAATATGTAGATGCTCCAGGACATGTCCCAAGTCTAGCTGTCTCTATCCTTGTTTGGATCAGGTCAGTGAGCCAAGCCTGGAACAAACAGAAACTTTACATCCACTACTTCTATTTTTCAGCTAATCAGCAAACATTTATTGGGCTTGCTATGAGCAAGGTTCTTTTTTAACTACTGTGGGAGCATCATGACATGGTGGATAGAGAGCTAGACTAGAGTAAGGATGATCTGGGTGCCAGTCCTTTCTCTGACACTTACTGTAGGCAAGTCACTTCTTGTCTTTGTGCCTCAGTTTCCCTATCTATAACATGAGGATAATTAATTGCAAAAACAATGAAGGGATCAGAAAGGTGTTAATCAAGCATTCTTCCTTCCCACCTCTCATCTCAAGTCAGAGTGATTGAGGACTACAATTCTCTCTTCCACATCTACAGGGTTAGGGATGTGGCACCACCCTCGATCTGGAAAATACACATAAAAATTTTGGCCCTCCCTTTGTAGCAGAGAAGTCTAAATAATTATGGCATTAAAAGATAAAATATGTTTATATTACACAACACTATACATATATTCTATGCACTTCTGAGTTTCTAAACTTTTTCTGTGTCATCTGCTGTCCTTCGCATGTCATCTGTGATTTTCACAAAACTCTCCCAAAATTCCCATTTAATTTTTTATGCCCACCCAAGATATATCGAAACCAATATAGGGAAAGTCATTGGAAAGGATAACTGTTCTAGGATAAATATCACATACATTGTCAGATGTAATCACTATATCATGTTTTTTTTTGCTTAATTGTTCATCACATGGGAAGGCTTAATGGCAAAAGATTGAAATGTTGGTTGAAACAATGACAAAATATATTAGTAAAAATAATAAAAAGAAAAGAAAATGGGGTTAATAGTACTTATTGTATCTGTCTGTCAGAGATGTTAGGAGATTCAAATGTGATAATGTAGGTAAAGCCTTTTGTAAACCTTAAAGTCCTACTTAAATGTCATTATTAATACAAAATGGGATATAACTCAGTCTCTGTCTTCATGGAACCTGCATTCTAATTGGGGAGTTTAGTGGAAATGTGAAAGGGGAGCTATACCAAAAAATCATCGAATATTAAGTGTCAGATGAGGGATGCTGATGATTGAGGGACATTTCTAAGCTGGTCAGAAGAGACTTCATGGAAGGAATGAGATTTTGCTGGCTTTTGAAGAGAGGTTGGGATTTGAATAGGTAGAAAGTAAGGAGGACCTATCACAGGGTGTGGTAGCAGTGTGAACAAAGGGGAAAATACAAGGTCTCTTCACAATATCATAGAACATTAAAGCTGGAGAGGGACCTTAGAGATGAACTTCATGTTACAGATGAATTATTACACATTACATATTATTACATATTACAACCACAAATGGCTTTTCTATCCAAGGCAAATCCTTATGCTTTTCCCCTTGATCTCACCCTCTTCTATCTATTCTGACCAATTGTTCCTATAATCATAGCTTCTCTCTAATCTTTAATATCTCTGTATCTACTTCCCCATTTCCCTACTGCCTAGAAACCTGTCCAGGTCTGCTATGTCTTTCACAAAAAGATTCCCTCTCCCAGCTCTGAGTCTCTGACTCCTGTGGGCATGGCTAACAATGAAAACCAAAACAAAACATTTGATTTCCCTTCCCTCCCCCAAGGTTACTATATCTCTCCTTTTTCACAGCTAACCTCCTAGGGGAAAAATATCTGAACTTCGTGCTCCTACTTTCTCTTGTCATTCAATTCTCAGTCGTTTGCAATCTGTCTTCCAACCTCATCTCTCCAAAGTAACCAACAATCTCTTCCTTGTCAGATCTGATAGTCTCTTCTCAATCTTCATCCTTCTGGAGCTCTCTGCAGCATTTGGTACTGGTGACCACCCTCTGCTTCTGCTTACTGTCTCCTTGCTGGATTTTTGTGACACCTCTCCTTCTTGCTGGTCTGACCACTTATTCTCAGCCTCCTTTAGTAGCTTGTTATTTATGCCTGCCATCTAACTGTGTCTGTACCCCAAGGCTTTGTCCTGAACCCTCTTCTCTTCTCTCTCTATACTTTCACATCAGCCTGTAAAGCTTAACATATCAAAGACTCCATTTGTGCCCACAGTTTCCAAATGTTTCTTCCCAATACTCTGAGATTTCTGTGAGTTCTTGTTCAGAGAAAAGAAAAAG